TTTGGTGACCTTTTTTTTTAAAAAAAAAAAAACAATTAATTTAAAAATAAAATCAAGTCTTTATAAACAATACCGATTTAAAATTGATGCGATAGAAATTATTTTTGTATTGAAATTTTTGTATTGAAAAAAGTAATAAATTACAATTACAACATTTCTTTAATTATTATTGTTTTATTTTAAATTCATAAGTGTCATTCTAAAATATTAATTTAGAATTATCTAAACATTTATTAACATCCATAATTAATCCTTTTATCTCTTTTCTTATTATAATTTATTACCATAGTATTATTTTCTTTAATAATTTCAAATTTCATATTTTTCATAAGCATTTTCGTTTAGGTAATTTCATTGCAAGATATTTTACAATTCTTTATTATTTTTTTCCTCACCACGAAAATTTTGTTGACTCAACCCCTTCTGGAGGAGTGGTGACAGAAGTGGGCCTCAGCGCTGGGAAAAGCTCGTGGCTGGATGTATGCTCGCTCGAATAAGCAACGCCTAGAGAACTATATATCGTCCGTACAAGAGAGCGATTTCTTCGTTGATCGAACTGTCTAGTTGATCCGTCTCCTCTCTAAGAAGGTCGTCGTCCAGGAAAACGTCATCCGTGTCTCTAAGCGTGTCTGTGAAGAAGGGTTCAACCTATATATCGGAAGAAAAGATGGTGAAGTGAGAGTGATTGGTCTTAAAGAAGAAGCCCATTTTTTGTATTTTGTTGTTGTTATTTTATGTGATTTTCATGTGATTAATTTGTGCTTGTTTCAGTTTATTTTAGGTTTTCCTTGGTTCATTTTGTCGTTTTTGATCGCTTACTTGTTTTTAGTCATTTTTGCTCGTTTACTTGAAGTCAGTTCAATTTTTTCAACAAACCTGCAATAATTTGTTTAGCTCTTTTACATAATTCAGGATCCACCCATTCATAAAAGCCACAATACCTAACATATTGCAATTTAATTTAATAATAATAACAATAAACTTCTAAAAAAAAAATCATAGATTGATTGATAGGTCAGAAAATGTGCACGTTTTATATGTTTACAAGTGTATTTTTATACGCTTAATTTAATTGCATGTTTGTATATTTTGACCTATTTATTATTTGAATTGATTTATTTGCTTTGATGTTTTATGTGTTATTTTTAGTATTTGGACAATTTGTGGATCCGGTGCATTGGAGAAGATACCCGTTAATTGGGCTCATGCAATAAAGCTCAAATTATTTGAGTCCACTATAGTGCAATTAAATGACGGGTACTTGGAGTTTTTGTTATTGGAAGATACATTAATAGTTGGAAAATTATTTTTGAGGAAAGAAATAAAAAAAGGGCCACGCAGCAAGTCATATGGGAAGTTTATTTATTTGTGGGACAAGTAGTTAATTTGGACTAGGACTCATTAGTTAGGAGGATTTATTGGAGGAAGAAAAACGCCACGCAAAGGGAATTATTTTTGGGGGAGCAGCGACAAGAGAAAATAAAAGAAAAAAGAAAGCCGAGAGCAGAAACGGGAAAAAGAGACACAACGCGCACGGAGTGAAGGAGAAGAGGCTACACACGCGGAGGGAAGCCGCACCCGCACACGAGGGAGATATTTTTATCTTCTCTCTTTTATCTTTTTATTTATTTTTATTAGTATGCTAGGCTAGGATTTTTATCCAGTTTGAGGGGATGTTTGAACCCTAACTTGAATTTGTCTATGAATTTGAGGATTTATATTTATCGTTGATTAATCTAGACGCCCGTATTTATTTTTGTTGATGAGTTGATTCATGTTATCTGTGTTTAATTTTTTTTTTTTGAATTATGGTGTTTGATTTAGTCTGGCCAACTATGTTAAATATTCATAGTTTAATTGCTAGATTCGAGACTTTAATCCGTAATTGTTATTGTCTCGTTTCGTTAGTAGTAAACTAGGGGTCGTGCATCCTTAGGGTAACATGAACATAAGTTAAATGGTCCGAGCTTACGCGTCCATTGCTTAGACTGATCTATTTTCCTAATAATTAATGCTGCTAGTGCATTAAATCTAGAGAGCTTATTCTAGGTTGTCCACTAGTTAGATTTAGTCGAAGAGCCTATTTCGATTAAATAATCGGTAAGGGAAAATTCGGTTAACAGAGCTTGTTGTTAGCTAGGGTTGGTAATTCGTTAACAATTTAAAGAAAGCGTCGAAATTAATTAACGGTAAATTGAGATTGGGTGATAACTGAACCGAAAACTGGACTTCTCTTATTTTATTTAATTTTTATTTCTTTTGTTATTTTTATTTTTATTTTTATCAAAACCAAACCCACCCATTTTACTGCTTTCTTAGTTTTAGTTCAATTAATACGAGAATCTCACGACTTAGTTCCTGCTCCTCGTGGGATCGACCCTTGCTCGCCGCTACTACTAGTTAGTAGAGGTTAGTTAAGGAAAATTTATAAATTTAAATTTGCCGCGTCGCGACGCGCGGTCATTGATCTTCAAATCTTAAAAACATTACTCCATATTATTTAAGGCAAATTAACTCAATATCTTCTTCGCGGATTATGTGGAGTCCAAGAAGTTTTCGGGAACACTTTGATCTCACAATGATAGTAGGCTCAACATTTGATGCTCTAAGAAATTGTGAATTCCAACTCTCAATTGAAGACTTCAACTCATTTTTTTTTTTTTTCAAGAGAACTGTGAAACTTTCTCCTTTTATACCAAGATTTTCACCGGCTGTAACAAGCCGTTGGACAAAGACGACAGACCAACAAAAAACATCAATATTGATTGACAAGCCAAACATAGGGTATGTAAGTCATTAAGTGAGTAGATGAATTATCGAAAGTGAAAAGAGAAGATAGTTAGAGTACCAAAACAACATTTTTCATAAAAAGAATAATAAGATAATTAGAGCTCATATTTTCAAGAAAAGCACGAATCACCAGATATAGCAGCAATAGAAAACAGAGAGATGAAAGAAAAAATAGAAAGATAAAGATGTGTAATAGAAGATTTACAAAATGAATTCCGTCAAATTAAAAAAATATTAAATGGACTGGAATAAGAAATTACGCTGATTGTAGGCTAGGTAATTTTTCCAAATAGTTATACACAATCGATCAGATACTAAAAATAAAAAAAAAAGTTATGGTGTGCTTGGATAGAAGTTTGTGATTGAATATTGTCGTTTTAATTGTTTTATTGGTTATCCAAAGTTAATTTGAAAAAAAAAATGGTTGAGTTAGGTTTGAGCGAGATTTTGAATTTGTATTAAAATAATATTTAAAATAAAATAATTAAATTTGATTTGAGGTAAAAATGTGACAAATTTTTTTTGAAAGTGATGAATATTTAAAATTACGTGAGTAAAAATGATATTATTTTATTATTTTGACAATATTAACTATAGTGGAATTAAATTAAAACTTAAATTATATTTTAATAAATTAATAAATTGTATTTGGGTTTTTATATCAAGCACAATCTTGGGTATATATAGTGTGGCCACTGATATTTTGAAGGTTGGAGGGACACATTTGGGGCATAAAACCCTAGTTCAAATTTGCAGCCACCAAAACCCAAAACCCTCCAATTAGTTCAAAAACCCTGCAAAATAAAGTCCCAGAATTAAAACCATGGAAGCTCGAAGCAAGGCTGATGTTCATGGCGGCCACGATTTGACCTTGATTGATAGTAAACCTACGAAGATCAGGTTCCAGTACGACGAGGACGATGATGCAGAAACCATTGAAGAAGCTGCCACAGAGAGTTCGATTCTCGAGGAGGATTCCGTCATGGGCGATCCAGAGGATTCCTTGATTGCTTCGGATGATAAGACGAGCGCTGATTATTACTTCGATTCCTACTCGCATTTCGGTAATTCATCCCTCTTCGAACGTTGTGGCTCTTCAAAATTAGTCTTGTGTGTGCTTCATAATGTGACGATTTTAGTGTGAGTTGAGGAATTAGTTTATGTTATTATGTATATGATGTTTGATAGTTCGGGAATGGTTAGGATGAGTGCATATGCCAGTAGATTGCATATAATGTATGCTGCAGAAATTCATTTGTAGAATTCATATAATGTATGCTGCAGAAATTCATTTGTAGAATTCATATAATGTATGCTGCAGAAATTCATTTGTAGAATTCATATAATGTATGCTGCAGAAATTCTTTTGTGTATATATTTGGGCATATTGTTGAACACGGTTGGTGATTGATAGAGTTGCTGGAACTTTGGAATGGGAAAAATTGACATTATCGATTTTGGCTGGTCAGGTGTACTCTGTGGAAGCGTTTTCATAGTCAGAAAGAAGGGGTTTTCAGAATGAATTTATAATGATGAATTGGTTGAAGGGTTCTAGGCATTTGTTTGTTTTTGCTTTCCTTGACATTTTTTTTTTTTTTTTTTTTTTTTTTTTTTTTTTTTTTTTTTTTTTTTTTTTACTTTTTACAAATGTCAATTGTCATCTTTTGCGATAGTGAGGTTCTTATGTACAAGATCATGCCAAGTAATGTTAACTAAATATCTTGATTTATGTGTGTCCATCTATATGTTTCATTATGTCGCTTTCACTCTTTGAGTTTCCATTCATTCTTATTTTTTATGTTTTCAGCTTACCTAATATGTCCAGAATGTTACATTCTATATATATATATATATATATATATATATTTTTTTTTT